TGTTGATATATGTATGTATATGTACATACACACACATATACATATGTGGGGGGGAGGATTGTTCTGTTTTCCTTGCAGGCCTAGATCTTCAGGTTTATGAAGTATTCATGATTATAACAAATATGTGCATCTGCTTGAAAGTGTATGACAGCCACAGCAGACTGGCAAAACAAGTGTTAATTCTAGCCTGGCTCAATACTGACTATTGCTTCATCACCATTCTGACTGTGCAAACATGTAATGGATCAGGGTAGAAACACTTGTCTATTACTAAGAAGAGTAAGTCCCCATCTTACTGCAGGCATCCAGCTGCTGCAGTGACACTTGGCGGCCAGGAGCAGAGCGCTATATCCACCAAGAGCATATTAAGCAGACACCACAGCCCAATGTAGCCTGAGCACGTACTCACAACCTCTGAGCATTTTACAGCTATCACATCCTAGCTGCAGTGGCTGTGACCTTGAGAGAGTCAGTGGCTTATTCTAGGTCTTTCAGTTAGTTGCATCTAAGCTCACTGAAATCAATGGGTTTAGGTACATGGAGTGCTAGCAACATATCTTCCAATTGTAAATTTCTCAGTATTTGCCTACTATAACCATGGTAACAGTCAGCATCCAGATTTTCAGTAACAGAACAGGTTCCCTTCTCTCTAGTGGCACTGGGAAAACCAATAAATTTTACTTCTGACCTCCCCAAAAGCCAAACAATAAGTCTATTCAGTTTATGCTTTATTATTATTATTATTATGATGATGATGATGATGAAATATTTATACCCCACTCTTCAGCTAAAAGGCTATCAGAGCAGCTTACAAATGGTTCATTAGACAGTTTAGCTCGTTGCAAATTTCCCTCCCCCTTGTTGCTTGTAGGAGTGCTCACAGAAGCAGCAGAGGACAAAATCCAGTTTTAGTCCCATCTAGAATAGACCCATTGAAATCAAAGTACTTACCAAGGTATGATTCAACCATTCCAATGCTTCAACCTTTCACTGGGACTAAAATTGGATAAAGTATGACAGCATTCTATACATACAGATTTGGAGCTACACTTCCAAGAAAAGAGAATTTTTACACACACACACAATATGAATGTAAAGATAATGCAAAGGGGAATGGTGTTTTATGTTCTATGTAGTCTGCTTTGCTAGATGGAAAGAATATTGTTTTTATTATAGTGCAACTCATTCTCACAACCAATTACACAGACTGGTTCTGATGGGGAAGAGAGGAGGTTACTTCCCCTCTCCATGATGGCATTATTTGAGAGAAAGTGGTTCTTCTATTCTTGAAATCCCTGAGGAGGAATCTTGGCCATCTTTCAGCGGTTGCTCTTTGGAGCGTGCCTGTCTGCACGCACAACATCGCTGCTTCCTAATCTCACTGATGAGACAGTCACATGAATGCGACAGATCCATATAATTGCCAGCTGATCCGAAAGCAAGCAACTCACTCATAGAGAACAGGGGCCTTGCTTCCCTGTAGCCACAAAAATCTCAAAACATTAAAATAAGTAGTCCAGCAAAGGTGAAGCCAATGTATGTAAATACCAATAGCTTGTATTCTTGCCTGAAACTGATACCACAGGGCAGAGCCTGCTTATCTGAGCTCTAGTTTATTTTGATTTGTGCAATTTATCTGTGGGAAAATCTGTGTGGTAGCCTTCACCTAGACTTTTCTCTCAAAACCTGAATTAAAAAGAATGATACATTTTTTGGGGGGGGGGCCCTTGGGACTTTGGTCTTAGATCTGCCCAAAGAGGGGGAGAATAGAAGTATCTGCCTTCTTTAAATTCCTGTAAGTACAGTGGGCCCTTTGTATCCATTGGGGTTTGGTTCCAGGAACCCCCATGAATACCAAGTTCAGTAGATGCTCAAGTCCCATTATATGCAATGGCATAGTAAAATGGTGTCTCTTATATAAAATGGCAAAATCAAGGTTTGCTTTTTGGATTTTATATATTTTTAAAGCATTTGCAAGAAGATGCTTGAATTCATGGATAAAAAAATCCATGGATACAGAGGGCTGACTGTAACAGCAAAGAAGGATGATCCCTCATTCGTGTAAAACTAGGGTGAGGACTGAAACAGAACACTCCTATAAAATAGAGCTGTTTGATCCTGGCTCTCCAGATTTTTTTGACGCAGCTGCTTTTCCAGAGAGATCCATGATACGAGAGATGCATCAGATCAATGAGCAGCAGCATCTCTCACTTTTGGGCCTTCTCTACCAGCAACAGCTCATATTCCTCCTCACCAAAAGAGAAGTATTCAATGCTCAGCTTTGTTCCAACTGTTAGCATTCTGTAAGATTTTCTTACAGTGCCCTTGTTATTACAGATATTGTCATCTCCCTAGATTCCCAAGCAGCCATTAGATTCCAAATCCACCAAACCTGGGATTCCACACCCTCCCTTTCAAATCCCAACAACCAAGATTCCATCAGCACTGCAAAAATAATCAAGTTTGACACAATTTTAATGGCCATGGCTGAATGCTATGGAATTCTGAGGACTGCAGTCTGTTGTGGAACCAGAGCTCTCTGACAGAGAAGGCTAAATATGTCACAACTACAGATCCCAGAATTCCATCACATTGAGCCATGGCAGTTAAAGCAGCGTCAAATTGGATTACCTCTGCAGTGCGGATGGAGCCAAAATGTCATCACAGCATCCCCCACAGCCTTCAAAGCTTCTTATAATATGACCCAGAAATCTGTCCCTGCCCAAACCCTAGGCAGGACCTTCTCAGCCTCAAGGCAAGCTTCCTTCCTGCTACGGGGTGGGTCCAGGGTGACCAGGCATCCTCCTTTTCCAGGATGTGTCCTACATCTCAGCCTTCTGTCCAGGAGGAATTCCAAAGTGTCCTCCATTTCGAGCATAACTGAGAAGCATGAATTTACGTTTATATGAGTATTTTCATAGCTTGTATTTGGCAGTGTACTTCTTTTGCTTGAGTGTCCTACATTTTGTGGTGCCTTGTCTTCCTTGGTGGTTATGAGCTCACTCACCCTGGATGAGAAACTCATTCCTCCTGCCCTGTTCAATCCTGCAGGCTTTTGGGGTGAGGAAAGAGCATCCCTACCTCTCCACAGATGGAGCCCTCCTACACTTACTACCCACCCTGCCCTGGGCCCATCTTGTTCCCCCTCCCCACAAGCAGACATGCGTGTACAATTTACTAAGAGCCCCCCACCCATGCACCCTTGTCCACGGTTTTCATAAGTCTCTTAGCAGAGGACCTCCTCCCTTCCTCTGCCTAATATAAGCTGGTGTCTCCTCAGACGACTCCTTTCCCCCTGCCTTCTTTGGAGGTCTTTAAACAGAGGCTGGATGGCCATTTGTCGGGAGTGCTTTGATTGTGAGTTCCCGCACGGCAGGGGGGATTGGACTGGATGGCCCTTGGGGTCTCTTCCAGCTCTATGATTCTATTCAATAGAATCACCACAATTCAAGAGAAAAAGCTGGATCATGTCCAAAGGAAGGTGACCAAAATAGTGACAGGTCTGGAAAGCATGCCCTATGAGGAGCAGTTTAGGAAGCTGAGTATGTTTAGCTTGGGTAAGAAGAGGTTAAGAGGCAGTATGATAGCTCTATTTAAGTATTTTGAAGGGGTGTCATATTAAGGATGGAGCAAGCTTGGAGCAATGGATTCAGGCTATAGGAAAAGTGATTCCACCTAAACATTAGGAAATTTTTTCTGAAAATAAGAGCTGTTTTACAGTGGAGAGTGGAGGAGTCTCCTTCTTTGGAGGTCTTTAAGCAAAGGTTGGATGGCCATCTGTCATAGGGGTGCTTTGATTGAGAGTTCCTGCATGGCAGAGGTAGGGTTGGATTGGACGGCCCTTGGGGTTTCTTCCAACTCTAGGATTCTACGTATCTTCAATATGCTTTGGTCTAATTTAGTATGCCTTGGACCTCCTTCTTTGGAGGTCTTTAAACAGAGGCTGGATGGCCATCTGTTACAGGGGGTGCTTTGACTGGGAGTTCCTGCATGGCAGAATGAGGCTGGACTGGATGGCCTTTGGGGATCTCTTCCAACTGTAGGGTTCTATGCCCCATTTTGGTCTCCACTCTCATGATAGCAAGGGAAAGCCCCAAAATCCTTCAGGAAGCCGGCAAGGGAACCATCTCCATCCTCTCAAGGTGCCTCACAACTACACATAAAGCCGACCAGCCTTTTTTATTACTATAAAACTCTTTTTTTATAATATTCTATTACAAATATTATAAATATTAGATATACACCCACACACATACACATATACGTGTGCATATATATATATATACACATACATACATACATACACACACACACACACATATATATATATAAATATTCTGTTCCTAAAAGTATGCCCCCTCCCTTCCCAGCCTAAATTTGGGGCCTTCTGCCTCCCTCCGACCGCCCTTCAGAGCGCCTCACCTCAGAGACTCACCCAAACGCGAACCTGTCAGGCGTCGAACAACAGGAGCAACGGACGGGCGGCCGCTTTTATACCCGCTGCCTGGCAACGCCCTGCTCCGCCCCCGCCGTTATCTCTCAATGGCCACGCCCCCGTTTCTCTTCAGACGCGTTCTCGCCCAGCCGCCCGTTACCTGTCTCCGGCTTGCCTGAACGCGCGTGCGCAGACCGAACTGCCCCCTCTAAGGTTATCCTCGGCGGCGCTTCTCCTGCGAGAGGGAGCGCGTGACCAGATGGACGCAAGGAGAAAAGAGTGGTACCCAGCGGCCTCCCCAACGGCCACAGGGGGCGCGCGAGAGCAGTTTTTAAAACTCTCTCGTCCTCTGGCACATGCGCAATTCTCGGACGTGAGCCGCTTCTGGCTGAGCGCA